AAAGCAATCGATATGCACGCGCCAGTCGAGGGGTTGTAAATACTCCTTAACAGTTATTAGAGTTGTTGCGCTTGTTGTTTTTATTTGGATATAGATATCTATCAAGTATCTAGGTTATATTATTCCCCTATCCTTCCTGTCAGTCATCGACTTCTCTTTTTCTTCCTTCTTCATCGTTTCTCCTTTGTGATGCGGAAGCGCATAAGACACAAACACAAAGGTCACTGAAAAGTATAACAGTGTGAAGGAGTAATTTTCTGTAACGCGTTAACAACAGACACTTGTTTTCCACTAGGTTATCAAGCAAAGTCTTCGACCAAATTCTCATGTCATCATCATTCTATTCTAGCCATTTTTTTTGGGCTGTACTTTAAGGCTATTCGATTTCTCTTGAGCTGATTATGTAGACTTTCGGCGCTCCCGTTTGCGTCATCAAACTCTTTCTCTTTCTCTCCCTCTCCCTCTCTCTTTCTCATCCTTTCCCTCTTTCTGTTTTTCTTCCTCAATCTTTCTTTCTTTTACTGTTCCATCTGCAATTATACATCTTGCATGATAAGAAGAAACAAAAGTGTTCCATATGTTTGCAACCGTCTGTTTATATTCACATCGATTTGTTTTCTTCATGAAATATATCACTATTACGGATTATGTACAGTGTTATTTATATTAGTAATGATTTTTAAAAAAAAGCAGTAACGATGAACGGTCAAATAGGTTTCCTTTTTCAGGGAGAGAAGATGACCGTGCACTTTTAAAGTGGGTTTTTAAGGTCGTGTTTATTTTCTGTCTTATACTACAGTTCTTTGTCGTCTGTTTCAAATGTACTTTACTCTGTACATGTGCAGTTTTGTACGAATTTGAAATAAAAAGTGTTAACAGTCAATCAATCAATAATCTATGTTGAGTCTTCTTGTTCGTTTTCCTGGAATGTCTCTATTCGACGGTTTTTCTTTTTTTTTTTTTTGAAATAACAGTCGCATGATGTTTTTGTAGCTCATATCATCTTTCTCTTTCGTTCCACTTCCCTCATAAAATACTTACTCTTACGTAGTTTTTTCCTAATTATCTTTCTGGCTATGCTCGTAGTTTGTTGTCGCTGCAACATTCATCTAGTCTTGCTTCCTTGACGAATGTTTCCAGACAGCGTTTCTGGATTGTTTCGTGCAGATGCAGTTTTCTTCAAGAGTTTCATTTTCATTCGTAGCAGTGTACTGGTCTTTTAGCGGCTTAGTGCTCATCTAAGATTCCAGAAATCTTGAGATAACCAGATATGCAGGGAAATATCCATCAAATACCATCTGGACATTTACCGTTTACATACCTGTCACAGATAAATGGCATTTAGCGGATTTGTACTAATAATGTACTGTCTTATTTAAGAGCCGGATTCTATGACGTAGATCTGATGTCCCAATCATCGTTCTACTAGGTGTCTTCAGCGATTATGATACTAACAGCAAGTATCGCTCGATGATTCTATACTAATGATTATGATTGCTGGAAAAATCAATATTCATTAAAATTCAGCAGAAATTTCCTACATATGAAATGCGACTAAGTGCATTACATTACTTGGTCCTTTATATTTTCAGTTGTTCATATTTTTTATTGTCGCTGATCTTTTCTATAGAATGAATGTCAAGCTTGTTGATTGTCACTGGTGTGACACGTTCTCTTTTGGTAAGTAGTAATGAAAGTGAGTTTAACACGGACGAAAAACGAACGTGCAGTTGTACTTGTTCATTCATGGATGGTTTCAACCGAATGCATTCCCTCTCAATCCATTCTACATCGATCTCTCTTTCTATATACTATTTACGTACTTGCATTTATACGGGTATGATCCAGCGTATCTATGAAATGAGATCGTCTATTTGAAGTCTGTAACGTATTGCAAGCTCTACACCTATTATTTCACTTTTTTTATTTCGTGATTAGACATCACATGTATCACACTGTGCCGGTTGCAGCACCTCTTGCATTATATTCGTTTTCTCGCATTTACCAGCCACGATGGTCTCCGAACTTCTGGCTTCCGGATTTACTTGTTACTTAAGGATTTTTCGTCTCCTTCATCATTGTCTTCGAATGCTGGTCGAGTTGATTCTCTCTGGAATCCTGAGATGGTCTTCCTAGGGCGTTTCCACGTAGATTAGAGGATGTGAGCTTGTGTCATACTTGTCCGGCCTCAATTTCCCGAGCTCGGAGTGATGAAAGGTTTGGTGGGCCTTGTGTCAGTCTGACCACCGCCTCAATGGGTTCGGCCTTCTGCATAATGAATGGGATCGCTACCCGCGCACTACAAGCCCTTTATCTGCCGAAAAATAATCCAATTAGCTACCCATGACTGTAACGAGACGAGGAGTGCTTCCAGTTAGCTATTTTTGTTTCGCAAAATTCGTAAAAATCGACGAAATTATACGGAAATTGTGGTGTTCATCGTGATTCTGGTTATACGTATTATGTAGATGTAGAGTGTATAGCAATGAATGGGGAACTGAACCATGGTCATTTGATTCAGTAGTTGATTAACAACATTACGGCTGATACAAGTCGTGTTCCCAGTAAGTGCAGTTGATTCTTGTTTGTTGTTGATAAACTTGAATAGAATATAAAGCGTAATGATATTTCATGCTTTTAACGCGATGTTCAACACGCAAGTACAACAGTTTTATCAGATATTCAGTGTGACTCCACTCGATTACTATTTGTATAATTTTTATTGGCGTAGCCTTATGGAAGGATAGCACCGTTTCTCGCTAGTTTACAGATAGTTTTTGTTGCTTTTTTCTTCGTCAATTTATATGTTTTAAACTATTTTCTAATACTTACGCGGAGACTCACGCGCTGTCCCTTACACAAACCGAAGCCTTTGCTTCGCCTTTCCTTCAGCCAATTTTTTTTTTTTGCTTTAACGGTGCTATCAGCAATCACCTGTCAACGGGTATGATTTGGGGAGAACAAATCGACATTGAACTTCGTGAGGCTGAAGGTGTAGTCGAAATCACAGTGTTTTAACTGTTTTTTTCTCCCTGCCCTTTTCTTCATGGCATGATGTGATGTGAAATACAACCCAAAAATGGCGAGATATCATCAGTACTCAGAACCTCAGGTGCGTTTCGGGCGCGTGATTACCTCTTCTGGCTGCTCACGTGCACACATACCCTGCCATGAAAGGAGAAGAAAGGACAGCAAATAGAAATTAAAACGCTGTGATTTCGACTACAGCCTCAGCTCAACTGGGTTTATTGCCGATTTGTTCTTTCCAGATCATTCCTGGTGTCGGGTGATTGCTCATAGAACCTTTAGGATTAAAAACGAAAATTGCCTGAGTGAAAGGCAAAACAGTGTCTCGGATGGTGTAGTGGATCACGTGATCTTTAGGGAAAAGTACTCTCCAGTTCGAAACGCACCTGGTGTTTCGAGTTTTGCTTATATCTCAGCAGCCTTGTGGTTGTATTTCACACCACACTCTGCTATGAAAAGAAAATAAAAGGCAGAAATTTAAAATCAAAGCATTACAGTGCCAATAATTTGGTAGTAAATCTTGAAGTCGTCAATTTGTCATATTTCCTTTGTTGTATTGTTTTTATAGAATTGTGTACTTATAAAAAATTGATCAAAATTGCCTGCAACTGAAACTTCATATGTCGTCAGTTCGATTCCTTTAAGAGTACCTGTTTGGCGGAAAATGTTATTTAGACGTAGTCAAGTAATTAGATGAGTAGTAGTGGTAGTTTGTTCTTCGAATTCCGACGCGCTTTGTTGCCGCTGACGCTTCCATGGGTGGTGTGGGGGCTGACGGCGTCGATAGCAACGTGGGTTGGGCTTGACTTTCAGCGTATTCTTTAATATTACTACGGTGTTGGGTTTTTTCCTCGTGTTCGCTATTTTTTCGGGATCAGCAAAACGTTAATCGTTTAGAAGAACCAATAGCAGTTTATGTATGTGAAAACCTACTTTTCTGTCACGATTTCTACACGTTATGGATTATTGGATGCCTATCCTGTGAAGATTATTAGAAAACTTCTGTTCATATCGCCTGATATTTGCTATAGTACATCATTGCTGTTGTTTGCCTTCATCTTTGCTTAGTCTTTGCGACATTACTACCGTCCAAGTTTTTGATGCAGTTTGTTTTGATATCCTCTAACTGCATCTCCATTTGACGTTTTCCTATTGTGATCGTTGTTACGACAATTTCTAGCACGTAGTACTGAAACGATGTAAAGAAGACGTTTATCGGTTTGCGGAGTTGAGCGATTTTGCTTTGATTGAGGCTAAATTGGCCTTCGTTGTTTTGATTGCCATCGTTTTAACTGTTTAAGACGCTCATCTGGCACAAATCTTAATTGGCTTAGAACTCATAGATCTGAATGAATAGGTAGATATATGTTATGTTATTCGAACAAAAACTGCCTCATCAATAGCCGAAAGTGTTTTTCTTTTTTTTAGGACACTTGGCGCAATTGCGCTACTTTTTATCGTCGCATTCAAAACGTCTAATGGTCTGCATCGTTGTTTGTTTAATCAACTGTCCCCAAATAAAAGTCGTTTGATGCTTTTTAGACGACAAGCAATCACAGCAGAGCAATTTATTCCCGTGATGTCATATGTTATGGCTCCTAGACGTCTGAAAGTTATGCGAACTCAATACAAAATTTACTTCACTTCTGGATTGTAATATTGTCGTTGAATAGTGGTATTTGCCAGTATGCTTTCATTTTGGGGTTTCATTTTTTTTGGGGTTGTGTTCTGTGAGCAACAAGTAGGCTGATGTTTTATTAACCGGAACGACTTCCGCCATGACTGCTGTGGTTGACGTTGTTGTGAAATCTATGATGTGTATGATACCGTTTCTGACGATCATCACCGTAACGGCACGCTTGCCAATTTCAATTAACAAGTCTATCTTTTCATTTGTTTACGAAAGTATGTATTCGCCTATGACGCAATAGCTTAAGAAAGTGTTCACCATGATGGGAATAATTTATTATAGCATGGCTGCCTTGAATGGCAACCTTTCTGATCAGCTTTCCTATACAAACATACAAAATTGTGTCGACGTAAAACCATTTACTCCTTTACCTCCATACAAACGAATGGCACAACGTGAGTTAATCACATCGATTTTCAGTTATGAAGTTTTTTTAATGTAATATTTTTGGTTTGAGGGTTACAGGACGGAAAGTGCCAGAAGGTGAATTGTGTGCTGTGTGCTCCGATTTAGCTACCGGCTATCACTACGGTGTAGCAAGTTGTAATGGTTGGTAGGTATTTCTCAAAAGCATCTTCATCTTTTTAGTGTTTTTTCTTCTTCTTTAGTAAATCTTAATGTTCTTAGTATTGTGAACTTATGGTGAAAATGTGTCCAAAACGAAGTTTTTAACGTTGTTGGCCCTAGAGACTATGTTTTCGAAGGCAGTATTTGTTTTTACGCTCTCAGTGCAATGGATTTATACAGGATACGCCTCTGTGCTATATTGCTATGCATTATGTAAATGTAAAGGTGAACAAATATATGTCAAAAATGCCACAGTTCTTTTTTTTGTCTCTTCGAAAATAAATTTTCAGTTTTTGTTTCGAAAAAAAGTGGAGGCCTATGAGGTTTCCGTTGAAAGTCAACTTCCAAGGTGAATGATAACTCTTCTTTTTCTAATCTCCTTTTTCTTCCTCATGCTTTCCTTTCCTTGTTGATCTAGCGATTTTTCTGTAGTTGTTCATTAAGTGAATATACGAGAAGACATGATAAGAGCCTTCTCTCCTTTTGAATTTATCGCTGTTATCGATTGATTTTTCTATACTAGTTAGTTTTGAGCAAGAAGTAAACGGTTGGGTGATGAAAAGCGAGCACGTTTTCGAATCGCACACAACAAGCACGTTTATGACGTAAGCATTCTGCCCGAATGTAGAACTAACTAAACCACTTGTTCGTCAGAAATATTTTTTTGTCATAGTCATAAACAATACGTCACAATATGAACATTTCGCGTATTCTATACGCTTCAGCAAGACATTCTTCCGAAGGACGATTGTTAGCGAGCAGACGTTCATCTGTCAGTACAATGGAAACTGTGATGTGCACAAGAGTAGGTGTTTCGTATGCTTGATATTAGTAAATATAAGTTATTGTAATACTTACTGTCATTGCTATTATTATTACTACTATTATTATTACATTATTATATTATTATTATTATTATTATTACATTATTATATTATTGTATTATCACTAAGGCTGCTCAGTGTACGAGCAAGCGTGTATATGTGTGTGTTTGTGGGTGTGTGTGTATGTGTGTGTGTGTGTGTGCGTGTGTGTGTGTGTGTGAGAGAGAGTAAGAGAGAGAGAGAGTGATGATAGAAGAGACAAGAAGAGGTGGGTGCGAGAAGGCGTTAAATTCGGGAGCTTGTCGTTTCAACCGAGTCAAGGTTTTCGAACGGTAGCGTCTCATTGGAGGTCTATATTATATATGATGTATATACGCGTGTACGTATATGAACGTATTCCTATCGTATTTCGGAAATATTCATTAAGTGTTTCATTTTCTACAAAGTGTTATGAGGTCATCAGTTCAGCACGTAAACAACCATAGTGCATGTACCATGTACTGAAGCGGAAATTGAAGCATGTGAAGGGCAAAAATCATGTGCGTTGCATAAACAGAACGAGAAGAAGAAAAGGATGAAAATAATAGTTACCTAAAGTGGAATAGTGACTATTGTTGAAAATCTTCCAGTACCTATCTAAATAAACGGTAATTTACGTCAGTGAATTTCTCCCAACTCTCCAGATATACGATGTGCTTGTCGTCATTGCCGCTTCAACAAGTGTTTGGCGGTTGGAATGGATGCAAAAGGTGATCGGATTGAGCTGCTTTGATAACATCATCATTATCAGGGAAAGAACAGACATTTTTCTCCTAGCTTACATATTTTTGCTAAATATTCTTTTTAAGTTATCTCTACATTTTCATTTTTCGCTACATACGCTATTTGCAGCGATACAGAACGATCGGGACCGGATAGGTCCGACAAAAAAAGCGAAATTGAGTAGTGGATCGGATGAGGATCAAACTGTTACACCTCATCGAATGCAAGATCAGGTAGAGCTCTTAATTTATAGAAAGCAACGCGAGCCATTTGTCAATTAATTGCGTCAATTGTCAATTAATCTTAGAAATAAATGACCACATTTCGAAAAGTTTCAAGAACCTTCAAAACATGTTTGGTGAATCAAATGCATTTTTTTTTGTTACTGATCAATTGGTACGTCCTGCATGAAATCAAATGGGGCAAGATATTATTGATGCAGTTTATGTCACACTTTCGTTTGTATGTGTCTGAAACTACAGTGGTTCAATTCAGGAGATTGTGGAACATTTGACGCAGGTGGAAGGACTGTGTCAGGAATTACGGCGATGTGTAATGAATGAGGTCTCGACAGTTCAACAAGCCCTCTCATCTCCTTGTCTACTTTTTGAGACACCAGACCTCATGATCGATGTGAGTTTTCCAATCGTTTTATGTCTTCATTTAAAATAGATCTTTACTTTCTTCAATTTAACAGCTTTGAAAAGTTGTCTGCCGTATTAGTTTTAGTCAATCGATAGTTCACTTATCACCACTTGATAGTTGTTTGTTTGAGTTGGTAATCGTTGGTAGTGTTTCGTATTAGAGTCCATTCTGAATTTATTAAACAGCAGTACATTTCTAATTACTGAAGTTTTATGTAGGCCGTTTCAGCCAAGTACGGTATTCAAAGAGTTGTATCCCGCGTCTATGAATGATATTCGTATGTGGAATATTCGTGAGATGAGGATCTGCATCGAATGGGGCAAAACGTTTGAGGCTTACCAACGACTTTCTCATTTCGATCAAGTGTGTTTCTCTACCAATTAGTCTGGATATTTGTGAACATGAATAACTTTAACATAAACATAACTATGTAGTATTACTTTTCGTGGAGCTACATCCATTGCCTAACATCTGAAGGTGTAATCAGTACCGAGTTGAATCACGTCATCTTCAGTGCTCACTAGTATTCACAATGTGTTGACGCCGTGGCGAAGTCTTTCACCGAGCGCTCGACTAGTTTTCGTCCATTCGGGCCGCATTTCCCGCTAAATAGTTTCCACCCCTTTAGATCGTACTCGAGTTAGTTCAGGGAAGAAAACATGAGAGAGGACTGTCGGGTATTTGACAGTATTCTTAGTCATTCTTTAGTCATGGTAGTTTTTCGTTCATCTGGATGTCTTCGTCATCAATTTAAATAAATAAAATTGAAGAATTAAGAAAGCCTATCTGGTCAGCATGTTCAACTTACTGAACCGTGAATTTTGTCTGAATAATGAGGAAAAAAGGAATTAAATATTATTTCAAGCAGGTGATATGTCATGATATAATTATCGATGACATAGTTTATAAATTGCACGAATATATGCTTGTACCACAATCGTATTCCCTAGGATCTTGTGTTGTTAGAGATTTCTTAAACACTGTTATTAGAAGAGAATGGATGGATAGTTATCGGGTGCTGTTGTTATAGGGATTTCGACAAATGTGTAGTTACTCTATCGTTCGGTAACAATTAAAGTAGTAAACGTGCGCTTCATGTGCAAGTATAAATATAAGAACACGATAATTTTAGCTGCAAAGAATTTGGTTAATGACTATCTCGGTTTATTTAAGTATGTATTTGAACGATGTTGTCATATGTCTCTATTATGACTAACGTTCCAGTGGTTTCGTCTTCGAATTTGTAGTCATTAGAATCTGGGTATTTGTACTGGTACTGCTATGTAAATGTTTCCAAATCGATTTCATAGTTCTGCTCTTTGGGCTGCTAATAGTCAGCAGTTAGCAGTTAGTCAGCAGTATAGCGAATTACAAAAATCGTCTGTAAGTGGTGCTGATTGTTAGACTAATAGTTACTCGTATAGAAAAAGCTTTTCCACTGATGAGATTTCTTTCGTTATCAACGAATTTAACCAAGTGCACTTTCAGTTTGCATTGGTACGTAATTTTGCCTTCGCTTTCAATTTACTCAATCGTGTTTTTTACTCGCCAGACCATGGGCCCGATAAAATTGTGTTTCAAAATGGAGCATTTATCATGCGACAACCACAACAACAGGTGCATTACGCATTTTAAACTTATTTAAACTAAACAGTACAGATTTTTTTTCTTTGTTCTACTTATTGAATAACGTAGGGAACAGGATGTTCAGATTTTTTCATATCGTCCTGTTCTTTAGTGATTTTCACAGAATAAAAACGCCACAAACTGTAGAGTAACGTTCTTGAAGATCGAAATTCTGTTTAACTGTGATATGCGGTTGTAAGGGAGAAGTGAGAAATGAATCACTAGCAGAGTTTCAGGTACAATTATCCGGGTGTCGTCCAATTTATACTCGACAAATGGATGAAATTATGCTACCATTTCGTCGGCTTCAGTTATCTGTTTCCGAATTTGCTACATTTAAAGCGGCTCTCTTCTTCAATCCCGGTCCGTTATGATCAGCTAGTTCAATATTTTCTTTTTTATATTACCTCTATTATGTGTGACGTGCAAGGCATTCGTGCTAAATTCAACTCGAAAGTTAGGTTTAACTGATTCAGATGCACTTGACTTATCTAGTCAAGCAAAACCTGATGTCTACGAGGAGCGAAACAAATACCTTAGCGCCCTTTTCACATGTATAACTAATAAACTTGGTGTGGCAGCTGGTGTTCAAAAATATGGTAGTCTCTTAATGATGACAGCTAGTATACAGGTATCTATACCTTGACTTTTTGATATAAGGCCTATACAAAGTCGTATACGAGTACGAATCATGTTCGCTTCCCCTTGTCTATTAGTCGTTTTCCAGAATATCCTCGCTCAAAACGAGGAAAATATGCAAGTGATGGAGTTATTCAAGAACTGGGAAGTGGATCCTTTTGTAAAAGAGTTGTGTATGAAACGGGCCTGATTAAGTCGGGTGTGTATTTTGTGCTGTCACGCCGTCCACTTTTTGTCATTCTTCCAACTACCTCCGCATCTACTTTCTTTCAACGTCTTAATCTGATCGAGTTAGAGCTGTACGTTCAGTTGATCTCTGATGTGCTGTTGCTTGCATGCTATTGCGTATTGTTTTCTTTTCTTGTTCCATCATTCACCATGAACATATGAAATGTGGGACTTTACGATTTCCTATTATGTTGCCTCTTTCGTCCTATTCGTGCTACATGGTGGGCTTCATAGTTGTCTGCAATTTTGAGAACTTGATTTACTTGAAGTTCCGCTTTCTCATAGAAGACTGAGCTAGTTACATTTCGTGCAGTGCCTGACACTTCGATTCGCTTTTATATCTTTTAAACAACTTTCATCCGCAGAGATAGTCAGGCTCGTGTATGGATTTGATTGCAACGTGGGATTCGTCATTTCTCTTATTGGTGTGTTGAAGGCTTGTTGTGCGTAGTACAAAGACATAGCTGTGCTAGGGCAGTGTCTTCTTCATAGTCTGTTGCAGTCCCTTAGGTTTACTGCCTTGCGTCTAAATATTCTTCCAGAATAATCGTTGCTTTCGTGGAGATTTTTCGCAGTTGGCGTTGCACTTTCTTATAGTATTCATATATTTCTAGTTTCCCCGTATTATCGACACTTGTGATCCATTTGGAATGCCATCAATCATTTATGCGCACCCATTAGAATGTCGAATATAAATGTTTTCCGTATAAATACGTTTAGGCGAAAATTCACACGATCTTTTGTTACCCACCCATTAGTTGATATATCAATATCAGATGTTCGTATTTAATTTCAAATCGATATCTTCTGCATTTTTCTTCTTGAGATATGTGTACTTTTTCGAGTAGTTGGGTTGAGAGCGTAGGACTTACTTCTTCAGATGATTGTTTATCGTTTATTTTTTATTCACATCTACATTAAGTCTGAGATATTGTGAAATTATCTTGGTTTTGTTGTGCCAAGTTGTCTATCGTCAATACCGGTAACTATACAGTAAACACGTTGTTTTTGTTGATGAACCCATATCATAGCGATGATAGATATTACGTGAATTTTTCTTACACAGTCTATGTGTGCAATTCTCTTGTTGTGGAATAGTCATATATATATATTTGGCATTGCATTCAGTACTTCTATATGATTCATAGCTGATGTTGATTCGTCTTGCTCTACCTCATTTGTTTTTCAAGTCCTCATTGTTCAATCTAGAACAGCTTTTTTTCTACGTTTTATTGACGGCTTTTGCCAATGTATTATACGAATGAGAAACGTGGTGTTTTTTGTAGAAGTTGTTGTTGAACTAATCGGTGAGATTAACTATAAATCGTTGATTGATGTGCTTATACATCATGTTTTAGACTTCACCTCATGCATAGTAATGCACATGCTTAGTTATGCTCAATGCTATACGTTGTAGAGCAATTTTTGAGCGGTACCACAGAAAATGGCAACTGCATAACGTTTGCTGTAAATACAGCTGAAGAAATAAGTTAAACATCTGGTTGATAAGTAGGGCAAAATAAGACAATTAAAATAGATGGAAACGTGAAATCTAGCAATTCAAAAGAGTAGATTAGCAGTCGCCTCCCAACGGTTTACTGCCAAGTCGTGGCTGGGAACTGTTCCTGGGAATCGGACTGCGATGTGCAGCGGGGGAATTCATAGCTATGGCAGGGCCTCCCAAGCTGAAAAGGAATCCGGCATTTCCATCAGGTAGCCCAGCTAAGAGTAAACCAATCCCCAATTCCAGGATCCGTCACCGTCCTGGTTTCAAACTAGTCGCATGGTGACAAATCTCTCTCTGATCCACAAAGGTGGCGACTGCCTGAGCAGACTTTGGTCTTGCTGACCTCGGTGCTCTAGGAAACCACAGTGGCTAAACCATAAAAACTCCGAAAAAAGGAGGGTATGGTGTGGCCCTGGCCCGCGCAATCACTGAGGACGGACCATCCAAGTACTCAAATACAAAGAATAGCAGTCAATGTGAGTAATGAATTGCTATCAGTTTAAACTACAAGTGGTGGAAAAAGTAGTAAAATAATCTGAATCGTTTTACTTACTGCCTACTATTTTCATGTGATTACAACCAAAGCCTCAACCTAACTGCGTTCGTTGCCGATTTGAGCTCCCCAGATCAAACCCGCTGGCGGGTGATTGCTGATGGCAGATATCGATAGAGACAGCTGAGAGACAGGCGAAACGAAGGACCCGCGTGATGTGGTGGTGAACGCGTTACGCCCCGGAAAGGACAATTGCGCGTTCGTTCACCACCGCAGACACCTGCGGTCCGGAGTTTTGCAAATATCTCCGCATCGTTGAAGTAGTAAAATAGTTAATTTACATTGGCCAAGATTTGTTGCACTATATGGACAGCAGTTACCATAAGGGCATCAAGGACATATGAACGTTTAAATCATCTACATCAAAGAAGAACAACTAACAGGGACGACACTGAAATTTTATCATGAAGTATCTATTAGTTGTACCCATAGGTTTATATTTATCAAAATTAGTCTGTTCCCAAGATCGACTTCCTATTAACCTCGGCATTGGGTTATAAATCTGTTGTTCTCTTTTTTACAGCATTCGCGACGTTGTTATTCAGCAGACCTTTACTTCCTTAAAAATATAAGACATACAACACAACGGTAGCTGACGTTTCGGCATGCCTTCTATCGCAGGTGGTTCTTCACTAGCGGGGATATTAGGGTCCGGAACGGGGACTGTGGAACGGAAAAGGTTGGTGTAAAACGTTCCCGTTATTAATTCCATATCATGGCGGGAAGTTCTAACGATCCCATCTTCGTTCGTCAGGACTAACAGCGAAACACTATAGTTACACAAGTCCCGACGACATTTGGTCAGACTGCTTCTTTTCTCTGCTGATTCCAGTAGTTCCTTCTGCCCCTATCAATCTAGGTCATCCTGCAGAGCTTTTCTGCAGATGGCATTTATTACTAGCCGCGTTAAACGTGTTGCAGTAGGATCAAGCTTCAGTTTCCTACTCCTTTCGAGCAAGTCCTTAGTAGTGATGGAGACACTATCCGATCTTCTTGCTTGAGGAACTGAGGCATAATCGACACAGCTTTTCAGTCTTTCGACAAGCAGCCCGTAGTCTTCGGTCGGGTCTTCTTTAATCTGCCAGTCACGTTTGGACAGGACTTCGTTCAGAATGTTCTCGTCGCATGTAGTTAGGTATTTTCCTCGCGCTCGATGAAGTGAATCCTTTTCCAGCTTACGGCCTAATCGAATCTTCGCGCAAAGAAGGCGCTGGTCGGAACCAGTACAGAATGACGGGACTACCAATGGTCATGTAGGCACCATCTTCTGTTTGCCAGAATGTGCTCGATCTCTGCATGAGTCATGCCGATGGGATACTCCCATGTCCAGCGGCGTCTTTCTTTCTTCTGGAAAAGCAAGTTTCCATGGAAGAGTCCTGCGAGACGGTTTCCTTTCTCATTTCTTTCTCCTAATCCAAAATTTCCGATCCTGTATTCACTCTCGTTGCCCTTCCTTATTCTGCTGTTGAAGTCTTCAGCAACAAATTTATTTCGCGCTTTATCATTGGGGGTACTCTCCTGCGAGTGATAACAGAATGCATCCAATCCGCACTCATGAGCTGCATCGGTCGATGAGTAGCAATTGATGATTATGATCTTCCTGTCAGTTGAAGACGGAGTACGGCCCATGCGAGGGGAGAGGATCTTGTACCAGTCGACGAAATTGACAATGGACGGTCGTGCGACAGAGCCCATGCCACCGACATTTGGTGGCAGGACCTTTCTTTCGCAGATGACAAGGATCCTGTTGTTTAGTTGTCGTGTGTAGGTCTTCCTGATTTTTGTTTGTTTAAATGCCACCAGATAACACTTGATACGATCTGCGGCTTCAAGAACTGCGTGAAAATCGGCATCTGTAGATAGTGTTCTGGCATTATATGCACAGAATAAGAAGCAATCTCCATGGTGTGCCGTGCGTGTGTTCGTCAGATCCGGTTCCAATGACGTCCTGCGTAACCTGGGATTTTCTGGCCTCTCACCGGTCGTCTCACCACCTGACGTCATAGACGGGAGCATCCAATGTGCGGAGTACTGAGGCTGGCCTATTACTGGTCGAGCAACATGGTCCTCCCTGGAGTCCTGACTTAACCTTGCAAATTCGTGTCCTGGTCTTCACCACGATGTGAAACCGAGGGAGTTATGCTTTCGGCGACGAATCCTTTGCTCGGTCTTCCTAGTAATTGATTTGGAAACGATATTAAAACCGAAATCAGGAACGAAAATAGGAACAAAAAAAATAACTGATCGTTCATGGACGATGTAGAACCCGAAGTACATTAATGAAACATTGATAACAAATCCCGAAAACAAAATAATGCTCGCTAATCTGATGAGCTGTGCAAGATACGAACGTTGATCACAAGAAAAAGACAAAAAAAGAAAGAACCCAAACGACTTACGGGTTCTAATAGCCCATAGTTTCATTGTGATACTAGGATACCAACATGCGACTTGTATATGGCTCACGTCATCACCAGTCTATAAAAACTGGAACACCGCACATATCTTTCCATTATCGTTTCAAATATTTTACAGTATTTATGCATTTCTATTAACACTAATGCAGTGTAATCAATGTAATTTATTGCCCACGTAGTAAATATACCGATTAATGCAGTTAATGCCGACTAGTAATAAAAAAGCGGTTAGCAAATGTTTCTACTAAATTGACATCAACAGGAGGTCTTGCAATACCCAGCAAAAGCTAGTAACTAAGCTCTCCTTCTACTGAACAACATGAAGCTAAGTGAGGAATGACCTGATATATTTTTATCACAAAGGGAAGCTCTGTTTCTTCATCCAGCGCAAAACATAAATTTGGTTGATTAAGTTGCAGGGAACCGCTTTACACACGATTCTGTAGAAGAACCTTTGTGCTGAAATAAAACTGCAGCACTTGAAA